TGAGTTGTGATGTTTCCAACTTTCTTGTGTGTAGATTGATTTTGACCTGATTATACTTTTTGCATAGAAGAGATTCACAGATGAATTGATTCCTCATTTTCTTTTCTTGCATTATTTTTGTTTGGGTTTTATGTAAACTTATTATCAGGTACTTAACAGAAGTCAAATAGCTTTCTCTCTTTTTTCCTCTTTTTAATTCTCATTTTCTTGACAATCATCTAACATGCATTGATTCAATGATAATTGTATATGTTTACAGGGTAAACATATTATGCAATGATTAAATCAGGCTAATTAACATATCTTGTCCCTCAAATATTTATTATTCTTTATGGTGTATTTATTAATCCTTATTCCTTTCTGGGACACATAAACATACTGTGTGGAAATTTTTCTGATATTGCTCCTTTTCCTGGTTATCAAATTCCTTGTCACAGTTTAGACTTTTTTTTTTTTTTTTTTTAAATACACCCTGCTGGATACTTTCTTGCCCTTTTGATCTGACTACTTTCATCATCCACTCTGGGAATTTTTCCTATTATTCTTAGATTATTTTCCTTCCTCCAATATAAATATTTCTTTCTCTGAAATCCCTGTTTTAGTTTAATTCCTGTAATTTTTGTCTTTTATTTATTATCATTTAGGCTTCCTATACTCTGAGTCTCTTAATTCTGCTTCTCAATAAAAACATTTCCCATTTGCTTTTAGATTCTGTTTCTAAGATAGCTGCACCTAAATTTTTAAGGGGAGTGCCCTTTTCTCATGGCACGAATTCTTTTTCAACTTGCCTATGGATGCTCTTACTGTTTTCTGTAGTTCATTTCCAGGAATTATGAAGAAAGAGCAAGATGTACCAGTAAATTTTTCTCCTAGGTTTGAGAACATAGGATTTCTTCCTGGGTGTCTGCAGCCTCCTGGGCAATGTCCTACCTGCTGGGCCAAAGGACTTCTCACTCTAAGCTGAGAGCAAAGATGCCTGTTGCTTACTGCTTGCTTAAAGAGGGCAGGGGATGGCCACCGACACTCCTTGATCAGGGCTACGACTCTGGGTTCTATCCCTCATTTCCTTTATTTTGGTGCACACCAGGATAAATTTTTATGGCAGCTCTTTTTCTGCTTATGCTTTGGGTTATGTTGTCTTCTGTGATGTAAAATTCCAGTGCTTTCTGGCTTTCCAAAATTCTTCATATCTCCTTTCATTGCTGGAACTCTTTTTCTGGCACTACATCGATCTCCTTTTTAAAAATATGTTTCTTGTCATTTGTAGGAATTGAGGTGGGAAGAAGGTATCGGCGTTAGTGTTCACTCCACTATTGATTAAATTTATCTTCTGGGTTTTTCTCCCCGTCATCTCTTCCTTTGTTCCTTCAGTTATTCCTTCATCTAGTCGTCCTACTGGGCACTAACTGTATACCAGGCAGGGCAGCTGGTTGGCCTTTAAGAAGGTAATATTATTGCCCATAAATCAAACTGGAATTTGAATTTCTGCTGGTATTTTTTCTAACAGAGATAAGGATGCTGTATTTGCATCTATGTGCACATTTTTCCTTTTTTTTTTAGCTTCACAAAGTAAAGACATTTATTCATAAATCCCCAAAGTCTCAATTATTTAGTAATTTCAGTTATCACTTTTTATTGGTTCTTTTTAGTTATATATGACAGCAGAATCCATTTTGATATAATTACACACACATGGAATGTATCTTATTCTACTTAAGAGTCCCATTCTTATGGAGGCACCTAGTGGTGGGATTCACTGTGTTGTTTTCACGTAAGTAATGGGAAAACTACGACAGGTTCATTCCACTGTCTTTCCTTTGGTTATTCCTCTTCCCTTCCCTCCCTTCCCCATTGTCTAGTCTTTAGAATCATCTTTCCTAGAGGCTTACCTCAGGTCACGTTGTAGTGTTTGAACTCCAAATACCTGAAACCAACTCATCATAGAGCCATCTGGTACTTCCCCTTTTCCTCCCTCTTCCCTAGATCTCTGTTACCTGTAACATAACTGGTCACATTAACGGCTTAGTGCCTGATCCCTGGTAAATGCTTCCAACATTTGTCTTCATTGAATTAGTGAACTAAGACTCATCAAGTGGTCTCCCCATTTGTAACCTCTCTTAGTTCAATACATCCTTCATCCTTCTGCCAATAAACAAGTCACAGATCTGACAATGTGCTCATGGTTTAAGAAACCTTCAAAGTCTTACTTGCTTACTGTGAATGACCTTAGGCCCAATATTTCAATAGATTATTTTGTTAAGTTTCCATAACTAACAGGAACAGAGAAAGAGAGTAAGTAATATACATCATGAGTACCAAGGTAACAATTTTGCTGATAAAACAGAATAGAAATTCTAACAGTGCTTGGTAGTAGGAAACACCAAGTGAAAGTTACACTCTTGAGTTAGTTAGGAGAGAAGGTGAATAAAAGAATGAATTGGTACAATCTGCAGACTAAGGAGACCTTGGAGTTTTGACTTGCAAATCAGTAAACTTTTAGACTGAAAGAACATTTGTTCATTAAAATGGACTATCATGGTTATAAAGGTTCAAGTCAATTTTTTTGGAGTTTATATATGAAAACAAAATTTGGTCGTGACCATCATTCACGTTATTCTCTCAGTCTTGAATCTCCCACTTCCATTTTTGTGGCTCCGTTTAAAGGTTGCCCTTTCCACAAAGACCTGAGCTTCTCTGGGAGGATTCTGGTAGCAAGGATGCTAGTGTCTTTCAGGACCAGGGAGGTAAGTTTGGACACGCTTTGTCCTGGATTCAGGGCATTGTTAAAGAGGTGTTCCCATTTGCCAAATTCATTGAAATGTAAGTATCATCAAGCAAACTGAAACATGTAAAATGATGAATAGACTTCAGAAGATCTGAGGTAAAGCTGGAGGAGGTGAGATTAGACCCGGAGAGACTCAGTGTCTCAGCTCTACTTGGGAGACAAGAATGGACAGTGGTCGAACAGAAAACCACTTCTTTTAGGCACAAGGCCTTAAAATTATTTTACTTTTTGAATTAACATGTAGTTATGAGAGAGAGAGAGAGAGAGAGAGAGAGAGAGAGAGAGAGAGATGAACTTTGCTGAATATAGTGAGGAGTAGGGTAAGATAAGAACAGAAAATCCATTATTAAATAATAAAAAAAGAAAGAGAGAGGGGTTTGTATGTGTGGGTTTCACTGGTGGAAACCAAAGTCTGATTTTCATGGGTCGAAGGTGGATCAACAAATGGGAAAATGGAAGTTGTAACTACACATAATCTTTTCCTCCTTCCTTCCTTCTTTTTTATTCTTTCTTTTTTCCCTTTCCTTTCTTCCCTCTTCCCCTTCCTTCCTTCTCTAACATATCAGCTACATTGCAGCATTGTTTTTTGGGGGAATGATTGAGTAAAAATGAAGAAATTAATGATCTATACATAAGATACTAAGAATATGTCCAGGTGCAGAATTCCCTGCGTGGTGGAGAAGGCCTGGGTGGCATTGCTAAAGGGCAAGGTTGACCTTAGATATCCACAGGGATGGCTCATCTCTTGTAATAGGAGAGAGACAGAAAGGCTGGTAGGTTTTGTGGTGGAAATTTGTGTGATGATATCAGGTAGGATTCAGTATCAGAAAGACTAAATTAATAGTGATTTTGTGAAAGATGAGACTATTTTCCCTTGATGTATGTTCAGGTAGGCAGTCGAGGACTAATACAGTGGCCCCCAAAATAAATTATCTTGTTGCTGTGCCAAGCTCAATATGCAGCTTATATTTTTTCATCCGAAGGTGACTGACTGCTCCATCTCCTGCTCTCATGTCTGAATCCTCACCCAAGGGAAAGGGGGAAGTGAAAGGGAACACACACGTATCTTCTCAGTAAGGGCCCAACCTGGAGATGGTTCCTATTCTGCTCCCCGCTCAAACACTGGCACTTAACGACTTAATTACTCCTAGATGCGAAGGAGGTTGGGACATTTAGCGCTTGGCTGGGTGACCATGTGCCCAACTATTTATTTATTTATTTTTATGTGGTGCTGAGGATCGCACCCAGGACCTTGCATGTACCAGGCGAGTGCTCTGCCGCTGAGCCATAACCCCAGCCCCACAAATGCTATTCTTAAAAAGAAGTGGAGAATGGATACTGGGGAATGGCCCGGAGCCTCTGCTACAAAGGATATAGTGTTCCTTTTCTGATTGCTTTTGATTTTTCAATGAAGGGGTGAGCTCATGAAAAAAAAAAACGAATGAAATTTGGGGGATTGCAGGAACAAGGGGAAGGAGAAAAATAGTCATTTGGAAGTGTGAGTCAAGTAAGGAACTGTCGCAAGATTGCCAGGCAGTGTGGAAGGCCAACTTGAATTACTTCAGCCATGGAGACCACTGTAGATCATCCTGACTTCTCCGTGAAGTTTTATATATGCAGAGAATAATCTGGTAAAGAAGCTCCGACACTGTGGTACATTTGGGATCAGACACATGTCTCACCTGACCAGAGATCTCCTAATAAGTACAGTCAGTTGACTAAGAAATGTTTGCTCTTGGCTCCAGGTATGGCATGTTTGCTTTCCTCTTCCCCAGTCTGTAAGTGGGCAGATTTTGAAAAGGGTTGGTGATGACATCCATCTGCACAGGCTGTCAGTTTCCCTCCATCGGACGCCATGACTTGGGCTGCAGTAGGCGTTGGAGAAGCAACGATCATGAGCACACAGATGGCCACCTGTCTGTTAAGTTAAAAGTTTCCATTATTTTCTCAGGATAGCCACAGTGGAACCTTGAGAAGCTTCTTCGTTTTTTTCCCTGTCACCAAGAATTGGCGATTCACGAGTCACAGGAGTTTGTAATAAATAACCCACATTGATTTCTCTGTTCCGGAATGATCTGGCTTCCCTTCCTCCCACAGCCCTGACACTTGTCCCAGAGGCAGTGTTAGAAAATCATTTACAAAGTGGCACAGAATCCCTGTTCTGCTAAGGATATAAATCCAGGTGGGATAGAGCAGGCCTGMGGCGAGGAACCTAGGACTTCTAGTTCCTGAGCTTTCAGACAAACACTTTTTCCAGGGGSGTGAATCCAGATCCTAGAAGCATCGGCAGCAGGGAATGGCCATGGAGAAGCTGTTATGGTGTGTCCTGGTGTTGCTTGGCTTCTCTAATGCTTTTGACCAGAAAGGTAGGAGGTTCCACAGACGATGTCAGAGATGTGATGGGAGGGGTAGGGATGGGGTGGGGCCTCAGATTATACAAACGGAATTCAGAGGAACATTCCRTATGCAAGAGAGGGCAGGGGCTGGRGAGAGGAGAGCTGGGGAAATGGTGGGTTTGCTTCTTGATCCCAAGCTGTATTTGTRAAAGAGGGGCAGATCTTGGTGATCTGAGAAACTTCTCATCTCTGATTGGTTTTCTGTCTCACAGACATGTCTAGGAAGGCCTTTGTGTTTCCCAAAGTGTCGGATGATTCCTATGTATCCCTGAAAGCCCAGTTAAAGGAGCCACTGAAAGCCTTCACCGTGTGCTTCCACATCTACACCGAACTGGCCCTGACCCGGGATTACAGTATTTTCTCTTATGCAACCAAGAAACAATTTAATGATATCCTCATATTTTGGTCGTTCAATAAAGGATACCTTCTTTCCGTGGGTGGGTCTGGAATATTTTTCAAGGCTCCCRAAGTTACTATGGCTCCAGTACACATCTGTACCAGCTGGGAGTCCATCACAGGGATCGCAGAGCTCTGGGTAGACGGGAAGCCCATGGTGAGGAAGAGTCTGAATAAGGGCTACTCTGTGGGGACAGAGGCAAGCATCGTCCTGGGACAGGATCAAGATTCATTTGGCGGAGGCTTTGAGGCAAACCAGTCTTTGGTGGGAGACCTTGGAGATGTGAACATGTGGGACTTCGTGTTGACTCCAGATCAGATCAACATGGTGTACGTTGGTGGGACCTTCAGTCCTAATGTCCTGGACTGGAAGGCACTGACATATGAAGCTCACGGTGAGGTGTTCGTCAAGCCCCAGCTGTGGCCGTGAGTTCTGAATGTGGATGTTGGTGACCACTCCTCATGGGCCCCCTGTCTGTCGCTAGGGACCTTTGCCCCCGATGCGTGCCGAAGGTCTGCTCTGTGAACATAAACCTTTGCTTTTCTGCTCTGTCTTCCTCAGCACCAGAGGGCAGAATTGAATTGTCTGGCTTGGGGGCTCGTGAACCACGCTGGGGAGCTTTGTCCAGATGAATCACGATTGTAGATGTTTTTTTTTTGTTTGCATATTTACTTTTTAAGTGAACGGATTTCAGAAATCATCTCTTACCCTCAAATGGATGAGAAGATTGATACCCACAGAAAGGAGAAGRGAATTTTTAAAAAGTCGCAGGGCAGGGACATCTCTGAGATGGGAATTCCTACCCAGGGTCCCCCAGAAAGTAGAAGGTACTTGCCTGAGTTCACAGGGCTTTTCCATCTCGGAGCTAGGACTTTAACAGAGGTTTGCAGAATGCTCATCACTATATCATGGATCTAGGTCTTCTGATGTGGAAAACCCATTAATACTGTGCATTGCCTCCACTTTCTCAAAGTACCCAGGAAAGGCAGTTGAAATTGCTGTGGCAGAGAAAGCCTGGCTTCTCCCCTGGGACAAATGAGATACACGGGTATAGTTATTTCAGTTATTATTGCCTAGGACTTACGTAACAATAGTTTTTATTTGCTTACAATGTTTTCTTGATTTTATGGTTTTTCTGGGAAATTCTTTTCCTACTCCATGTGTGGAGCTGTGAGTRCCTCCACCAACGTATCCAGAGTGGGCTTGTGACCCAAGCTGTCCTATCAGGGTATCCATGACTCACTTCCCTAGGGAGGGGTTGTTTTTGGTTGTTTCTGTGTTCCAAACAGGACAAATTAGTCCTTCCAAGGATTGYGTTATGGACTTCAGGAGGCAACATCTTTCTGGAATTCCAAGCTAAGAGGGTGTGAGCCTGGACCTCTAGCAGTCCTCTTGGTTACCACGTGGAGACAATGAAGAAAGAAGCCATGTTGGGACTTTAAGAGTGGAGAGGCTGACAGAATGATGCAGAATTGACTATATTGAGTCTCTAAATCAGTTTTTTTTTTCTGGAAAAGAACCTGCACCTGGACTTCCCAGGTTCATTATCCAATAAAGCCCCTGTTTACTCCAATAAATTGGACCTGTTTTCTGGTGGTTGCTTTGTAAGCTGGGACTAACTTTTCTAATGCATTACCGAAACCAAAGCCCAGTTTAGACTGACAATTACTGTCTTGTGAGAACATATCCATGGTAYTCTACTGTCTCTTGGAGTCTCCTGTAGGGGTTCTCTCTGACCAGTGTGGCCCTTCTTTTGAGAGAGCTGGACATTCATGTGGGGTCAGTTGTGGGCTTTTGAATACTTCCACTTTATCATTATTCCAGTTTGAGGAACAAAAACGAAAGGTCATTGAGAACCAGCAATCTGCTGTCAGTTTCAGTGCAAGAATGCATTCACCCTGGTCTTCTAACAGTTTCTTCTTCTTTGACTGTTTTGTAGTTAATACATGCCTAAACATTATATACCATAAAAATACAACTTGCTAGAACTTGCCCGGGTTGGCAGCAATAAGGTCTCTGGTTTGCTAAGAATTATGTTCAGAACATTAGGAGGATGAACAGAAAATCTTTGAAGTAAATTAATTTATGAGTATTGATTTCCMTAATTGACGTTTGATAACCATTTAGAAGCACAAACATTAATGAGATATATTCTTGGGCAAAAATGTGAGTGTAGCCATTCTCTGTTGTCCAATAAGGACAGATCCATAGACCCTGACACATCAGCTAGCAGAAGAGAGGACTGACACTCTTTTCCAGTTGCAGAATCCAGTCAAGAGATATGTCTTAATTATAGAAGGCCATCCCCACTCTCCAGGGATGTGGGCTGAGCTAATATTTTCTTCAGAATTCAATTATCGGTACGTTCCTATACATGGTCTACTGGACAGCCTCTGGCCCTAATAATTTTAGCCAAGAAAATTTTAATAGCTGGTGTTTGCATTCAGCGAACATTAGAAAATCTTAATAAAGCATTYCTATAATATTTAAATTTAAGCAGTTTAGTTTACTGGTGGATACTTGAATGTAATCTTGTTGGAAAATGTATCCCTAGTTAACAGGTGAGTTGTCATATCATAGAGTTGTTACATGTGATCCAATTAAAAATTAGATGACRTCTGCCAAAAAGAATGATTTCGGTTTGGGCATGTTGGTGGTCATCTTTAAAGAAGGATCTAGTGCAACTAGACTCAGGGTATCCCAGTAGCCCTGTGCTTCTTGTGCATTCAGGGAGGTCCCCTTTACCTTTCATCCACATAGTCAAGTGATCTCCTAAGGCTCCTTCATGGTCCTGAGGATGATAATTGCCTAATCACCCAAGGCAGATCACACGCACACAGTCTTGTTTTTTTTTCTTACCAGGGATTTGACCCCAGGGTGCCTAACCACTGGGCCGCATCTCCAGCCCTTTTTATTTTATTTTATTTTGAGACAGGGTCTTGCTAAGTTGCTTAGGGTCTCGCTAAATTGCTGAGGCTAGCTTTGAACTTGTGCTTTTCCTGCCTCAGCCTCTCGAGATGCTGGGATTTCTGGTGTATGCCACTACCTCCGGCACACAGACAATCTTAGTACCCTACACTTACTAAGCTCTTTACCATGTGCTAGGCACTGTTCTACCCCCTTTACATATATTTACTTGTTTGACAACCCTAGGAAGTAAAGGCTGTTTTATAGTCATATTTTACAGGCAAAGAAGGTTAGGTCTGGAGAGGTTCATTGACTTACTCAGCTATGATTTGAACTGAGGCAGTCTGGCCCTAGGGCCTGGTGATTCTAACCACTTTGTCTACTACCATGTGCAGCAAAAGTTCATATCCCGTACTTAGCCTCCTTTGAGGACACAGAGTGTGGGACATGTGTTTCCATATAGGGAGGCCATTGCAGGATGCCATATATCCAGAAGGTTAACTGACATGACCGGTGCACTGATAATCTTCCTACTTAAAATTTTGTTCATATGTTTGGTAGCATGACTTGCACATAGAAATCCCATTTGACCTCAGCATCCACATAACATTAGGCGGCCTATGCCTGTGCTACACTGTCAAAGTTCTGTTTTGACCTGGACCCATCCAACTCTTTCCCCGGCCTGTATACCTAGAGGTAATTTCATGGGAACCATTCATCAAAGGCATGGGATCACATGAGAATTCCCAGTGGACCAGGTGGTACCCAACTTCAGATGCTAATTAGAATTACCCAGAGGGCTTTAAAAAAAATCCCCTGGTCTTGGCTTCACCTCAAATTATTACATCAGGTTCTTTGGTAGCAAGACCAGTTGAGAGTATCTCTAAAGCTTCTCAGGTGATTATAGTGTATAGCTGAGTCTCCAGCAGTGGAGGATGGGGTGCCACGGTTTCAGGCTGAGTGGTAGCTTTGAAATGACTGCAGTCACAGCTGTTGTCCCTGACAGTTCACAGTGTTGTTTCTGACCAATGTGCCCCTGGCTTCCTCCTTTCCCTGTGTTACAGGGGTTTTGGTTTGAATGTGGGGAGCGTGCCCAGCTCTCTCTTTCAGCACTGGAGTTTAGAGTTGTAAGCTGCTCTAGGCTTAAATCAAGTAAAAGGACAGCCCTGTATTTAGTGTGTTATTTATTCAATAAAGCCKTGCTGTGATAACAAACATTCTGCTTGTCTAACCATGTTTTCCTTTTCTCCCTATGATTGTTACTTTGGATCCAGGCAATTTGTGGTGTTTGTCTGAACTTCTGGGGCTTTAAATCAGGGAGGAACCAAAGTGCCAACATATTGTAGAAAGGCTGAGATCCTTGAATATTTTTGTTGGAGCATCACAAGCAAAGAGAGAGGCCTCCGATGCAACCTACCTGAGGGAAGGGGGAGGTCACATTGCAAGCACCCAGGGCTCTGTGATTGACGGGAGAAGTTACAGGATGGTGTTGGCAGATGGCTGGAACTAGGGGAGGCTGTGAACTGGTTCAGAGGGGAGGTCTCTCAGATTCTTTCTCTCTCTTGCTTTAGTTCTTGCTCTCCTGATCTCCCTCCTTTTCTCTTTAAGACTTGCTCAGTTTGTCCATTTGGAAGGTAGCTCCAATAATGCAGTGGGATCCATGAAATTAATAACAACTCCAGTGTCCACCCATTATCTTGTTTTCCATGTTCCTTTGACTGACCTGGGGAGCCCAGATATTACCAAGAGGATAATTTTGGTATTGAGAAAACATTGTCTTCCTTCTTTGTCCCAATATTTTCACCTGTTTAAAATCATGAATATATCTTTTAAAGGACAAGTGGTTAGATTGAGAGGTCAGAAGCTTTTGCAGCAATTACATTAAGCCAGTTTTATATTTTTAAAATCAGACGTGAGAAGTTTGGGAAAGGGTGATCTAAAGATTTAACTACAGGGCTGGGGTGATGCACATGCCTGTAATCCCAGCAATTTGGGAGGATGAGGCAGGAGGATTGCAAGTTCAAGGCAGCCTCAGGAACTTAGCAAGACCCTGTCTCAAAAGATAAAAAGTATTGGAGATGTGCATTAGTGGTAGAGCTCTCCTGGGTTTAAATCCCTGGTACAGGAAAAAAAATGATTTAACTATAAATTATTAAAAATTAAACCATTCTAGAAACAATCTCTCTCTCTCCCTCTCTCTCTCTCTCTCTCTCTCTCTCTCTGAACTGGTGATTGAAACCAGGGCCACTTAACCACTGAACCATGTCCCCAGACCCTTTTTTATATTTTATCTAAAGACAGGGTCCCACTGAGTTACCTAGAGCCTTGCCAAGTTGCTGGGCTGGTTTTGAACTTGGGATCCTCCTGCCTCAGTCTCGAAAGCTGCTGAAATTACAGGTGTGGGCCACYGTGCCTGGCTATCTTCACATTGAATAGTCCTTTTTCTTTGTGTGTTTACAATATGCTACCTACATCTGAGCTGATTCTTCTAGTCAATAGAGAAGTAACCTCTATTATTAATTTCTCATTGAATATCAATAGGCAGATGAATATCTCATGATGAGATCACAATGAATAAACTTGAGATTCTTTTTACATGAAATTATGATGATATATATATATATATATTGCCTAATGGATACTGTACCTCTGTTTTAGTCATTCTGGGCATAAAGCCAAATGGCCACATTCTGATTGGGTGTCCTATTCATAACAGGAAATAGTAATTTTTGGAGCTTCAAGGACTACCATTCTTTATTCCCTTTTTCCTTGTTTCTTAATTAAACACACACACGCACACACGCAGATACATGCGCACTTCATTTTAGAAGCAATCCAACCACATTACGGAAATGTTGCAGGAGAAAAAAAAATCTACATTATTCCTCTAATAGTAGTACATGGTTTGGAAGTATTGGAGTTCTTTTTTCTTTTTAAATATAGTGTATATACAATTCTTTTAGTTTTTCTTTTCTTTAACCAGAAGCATTTTTACTTGTTATAACATAAAGTTCACAGCTAACTTTTTAAGTGGTAATCCATTCTGATTAGTGGATGGAGATATATATATATACAATTTACTTAAACATTCTCAATTTTCCAATTTTTCAGGGTACTAAGTAATGTTAAATGGTTTTCTTTATGAATAAAGCCTCTCTTTTATCTCTCCTATTTTACATAATTTCCCAGGTTGTGATGGTTCTAATTTACCGGGTCATACCACATAGAGCTGTTGGAACACCAGCCGGCACTGTGGAGTCTCTAATAAATAACCCATATTGATCTCTCATTTGGTGATTTATCTTGCTCTCTTTGCTCTTAGAGCTTTGATTCATGGCTTCAAGGGACAATTCTGGAAAATCATTTACCAGCTGAGACACCTGACTACAGCACATTTAAGGTCAAGGTGGAGCAGATCTGAGACGGAGGGATCTCAAATGTCCAAACCCAGAATCTCAGCCACTGATACTTTTTTTTTCAGGAGGATAATTCAAATTCTGCTCACACGGACAGCAGGGAGGGAGCGTGGAGTTTCCCAGGCTTGTAGCATGAAGTTGCCTGTGTTTCTCGTCTTCATCAGTCTCCCTAGAGATTTTCCCCAGGCAAGTACTG